AAGAACTAGTCTGTGATTGAACAATAGTGTCTGGCCATCACACTTGTTATCTGGAACAACCACTACAGGAAGGAGTTCATCATCCAGAGGTGCAAAACCAACATTACCAGTTCCACATTGAGGCTATCAAAGGGGCTATAAATGTTGGTGCAGATTGTACGAGTAGACTTTAAGCATGAACTGAGAAAAGTCTTTGTATATAGTAAAAAATATATATATATATATATATATATATCTATATTGTAAATATTTTTCTTGAAAAGGGGCTTATTATGAGATATACATGTTTAAGTTCAAGTGTCACATTTAGTTATTTGTGGAGCAATATTTTAGGGTAACTTTGTTTATGTAACTGTTTATGAATCATATATTGTGTAGTTTAATTGTTACCAATCAGCGATTGATTGTTTACAATAGTAAGATTACTGTGTCATCTTGCTAAAACTTTCTGAGTTTCTATATGGTTTAATTGACTATTACTGCATCAGAATATCTAGTATTGTGTGGAATGTTCTAGACTGCACTATCATGAGTTTAGTGATAAAGAGTGTAAAGTGGTGATTTTTTAAAGTGAAATTATCATAGACTGTATTGTAATAACAGAGTGGAGAAGAATAATTCTTCTTGCCAATTGTGTTATAAAGTATCTGAACAAGCTTATGTGAGACAGTTATTTAAAGTTTTGGATACAACTATGGTAACCAACAGTGCAGGAATTGATAGTAACACTTGTCCAAGTGTTCAGGGCAAGTAAAACACATAGTTGGACAATTGAAGTCATTTTTGTACTTCTATGATTGGACAAGTGGAAATTTTTAATGAAAATGTGAGTGGAAATTTTTTATTAAAAATGTCAGAGAATATCTAGCTTATGTGAGACAGTTATTTAAAGTTTTGGATACAACTATGGTAACCAACAGTGCAGGAACTGATATTAACACTTGTCCAAGTGTGCGGGGCAAGTAAAACACACAGTTGGACAATTGAAGTCATTTTTGTACTTCTATGATTGGACAAGTGGAAATTTTTAATGAAAATGTGAGTGGAAATATTTTATTAAAAATTTCAGAGAATATCCGTGTTTGTCAATTTGTCATCTCTATTTCATTATTCATTTTGTCATCAATCTTGTGACTTAGTGTCCTAGAGCCCACCTCATACTAATGAAGTAATTCTGTCTCTAAGGCAATGAAACAAACAATAGCCTGCTATAGGTTGAGGGCAGTAGTCGGGGAAACATTCAGTCTTGTTCCTAGATATGTGCACACACACAAACACATCTAATTAAGCTCCAAAGCTAACTAGCATGAACTAGTGAGCTGGCTAGCTAGCATTGTGAACTCCATTAGTATGTACATACAAGACAGCTAGCTAGCTAACTATCATTAGATCAGGACTGATGACAATGTTAAGCTAAGTAGCACCTCTACTTTTCACCTACAGTTTCTGTCATCACCCTGAGCTTGTTTTGTTGCAGACAACCTACTGTATAATAAAATGCAGTCTCATATTGAAAGAGATAAGGCCAGATTATTTACAGTAGGTGTCTGTGACTTATTAGCAATAAATTTCAACTATAAACAAACAGCAACAGTCTGCTTGTTTAAAATGATATATTAAAACAAATCAAACGTATATATACAAATGTTCCTTACACTGTTCAGGGGTTGATATTAAGCTTACTGGGGTACTTGACCTTTGGACAAGTGAACAGCATTTATTACTTGTCTGAAGTTTTTGAACAGGGCATGACACAAGTGATGACCACAAATTGATACAACCACTCATATACAGGCAGGAAACAAAAGAAACATACACCTAATAAAGCTTTTCAAACAATTTAATCAGATTTCATCTGCCAATTCCTGCCCATACTCGAGCCATCCTCAAACACAAGTGGGGAACAAAAGAACTATAGAGATAATAACAGATAAAATATAAAGTTTTACTGAAAACGAACATTTGAAATGTATTTAGGAGGATTTAATGATTACACAAATCAAATCTGAGATTTTTGAAATAAAGAAAAGTATTTTTAATCTTAACATGAAAATCACTTTGCATATGGACTATTCAAAACACATACTTGATATATTCACAGACAAATCTTTTTTTAAATTATTAAAAATAATTAAGTTATCTATCTCAATACAGGACCTCTTTGTACTCCTTTAGTCTTTATAGATTTGATACTACTAACTTTTAATATTATATGTATATCTTCAGAAAATTTGGCAGGTTTTCAGTAAACATAAGTCTTTCACATACAAAAAGTTATATTTTTTAGTGAAGTATATAATAGATGAAAACCTTGGCTATCTATTGGTTATAGATAATATAGAATTAAACTTAAGAGAGAACTATTAACAAATCCTTAAAGAGATGATATGACAGATTGGTGTGGCAAGAAGGGTCTGATTTTCTATTTGATGGCTCTATAACCAAACAAAATTGAAGGCTATAAAAATTATGGTTTTTCTGAGCAATGACGATTTTATAGTGAGTAATTTACATTGAATTTCATACTTACTGGAGGGGTGGTGAATAAAATAGAGAAGATGGGACGCCTAGAGAAAATGCGCCACCTTTCTCACACTAGGGGAAATTCAGGATTTTGTTTAATATTGCCTTATGAAATTAAGAACTTAAAACTTATATACTATTAAAATATGGATTATTAGCTATGATTTTATGCTATACTAATTGTTATAACATATAGAAAAAGTAGTTTAATAAAATTTTGAATGTTAGCCACTAAAACCTAGTGACATGTGCAGTAAATGATGCTCAGGCAGATAGGGTTAATATGTGTTTCTTGAAAGATAGATGCTACAGAAATACTATGTAAAAAAATTTAATTTGGATAAAGAAACAGTTAAAGCTTGAGGAGAAAAATAATTGTTACTGCTGACAGATTTCTTATTTATAAGTAATGAGGAGTTGGTAATAAAACGTGTGACTAAAAATATGTTGTTTATGTTGATTTCATAGACATTCTACACTGTTAAAAAGCAACTGGGAGTAACAATAATGAAAAAACAAATACATACAAAGAACTTACCAAAAAGGAAGGCGAGCAGCATGTTGTTCACAACATTACCAATCCAGGCCAAAACCAATAAAATAATCAGCACACTCACAAAGTACTGAAAAGTAGATAAAAAAATAGGGATTAGAATTTTTTTTCAAATTTCAAGGTAATTACTAAATAGTTTCTTCAAAGACAATCATGCAAAATATATTATAATAGAAAAAAAGATATTTCAAATTGGAAGCAGATAAAATTTCCTGCAATTCAGTCTGTTAAAAAAACTTATTAAGGTTAAAATTACCTTGTAAGATATGTCTTAGGTTTGGTTTGAATTTTGTGCAAAGCTAAATGAGGGTTATCTGGACTAGGTATCCCTAATTTAGCAGTGAAAGACTAGAGGGAAGGCAGCTAGTCAACATCACCCACTGCCAACTTTTGGGTTATTCTTTTATCAATGTATAGTGGGATTAACTGCACATTATAATGCCCCCACAGCTGGAAGGGCAAACATGTTCAGTGACAGGGAAAATCCACAACCCTCAGGTTGCAAGTTGAGTGCCTTAACCACCAGGGTATGCCAGACCTGGATATAGTATTGCATAGGACAAAGGAAAGACTTCTCCAATTTGACCAACAAGCCCACCTGCGCAGATTTGGCCAAGAGCTGATGAGTATGACATGCCCGATTCCCAATCGGAATGAGCAAGAAGTAGCCAGTTATCCATACAGACATGGAAGTGCAACCTCCTGGTATGAATATGTCGAGCAAAGGAGTGGATCACACAACAAAACATGTATGGTGCCAAGGCTAGGCTGAAAGGTAAGGCCAAAACTGGTACACAACCCCCTGATGGACAAATCAATAATATAGACGGAAATGCTCCACCACAGGAATGTGTAGGTAAATGTTGGAAATGTCCACCTTGGTCATCCAAAGACCTGGAGAAAATGTCCATCGAAGAGAAAGGTATGTCTCCATGGTAGAGCTAGCAGTGTGAACATACTGATTGAGATGGGATAAGTCGATGACAGGATGTCAGTCCCCAGTCTTCTTGTGAACCACAAACAAGCAGGAGGTAAACCCCTGTGAACCTGGTGGAGCTGGTTCAATAGCCTGTTGTGCAATGAGGTCCTCAACCACCTCTGACAGATGCTGGCACATCAAGGGATCTTAAGGAGAAGGGAAGGAACACTGGATGATGGAGGAAGGGAGGGAAAAGAGAGCACCTTGTGACTCCAGACATCTGTGAGAAAAGGTCCCCACAGATGAAAGAAATTCAAGAGACAAGCCCCCACTGCTCCTGAACTGACCACATAGTCACCGGTACTGCTGTTGCCAAATCGTGCATTGTTGAGTAAATTGTCGAACCATGGGAGGGTGTGACAGGAATAGGTTGGAAAGAGGAAAGTCAGGGGACAGAAAACTGTGCTGCTCTCAGTCCAGACTGAGACAAACGAGCTACCAAGTTAGTAAGGGTACAATGTTAATGGGCCGAGGCCACAATCATCTCCAAAGATTCAGGAACTGAATCAAATACATAACACCGCAAAAACGCCGCCATGCAGAGGTCCCTCAGATAAGAAGCCTGGAGATGATTCTGTGCCAAAACTGCATCTCAGTTCAAGATGTCCCAACAACAAACAAACCATGTTTGAAGCGCAAGAGCTGAAGATGACAGATGGGCCAATGTAGAAGTAAGGATGGAGCAGATTTCAGCAGAAATCCTCTCAGGGTTCCTATGAAGAGCTTCTGACAGAAGGTGAAGGAAAGAAAGGTACCTTAACAGGGTTGTGAGGGTGAGATGAAGGCAAGAAAATTGGGCCATGCATCACGTGATAGTAGTGCTCTCTTATTGGTGGAGAAGTGACACATGTTGGAAATGTGGATTCCAACAGAGAGAGAATGAAGACTTGTGGCATGCGTTTCTGGAAATGTTTGCATGTAAAGGGCAATACAAAACGAGAAATACTAATCTTGTGAGCGGAAAGAGAGTACCTTATTGGAATTTCAATAATTCTGTCTGATATTTGCTATCTGATTATTTACCAATAAAAATATTTTAATTTACTGATTTCCATATAATGCTAGCTTTCTGAGATAGTTTTTGAATTATTTTGCCTAGAATTTCTTTTGTACAATATACTTGTAATATTTACTAAAAGATTACCAAATTTTGTGAAGATACATTATCTATGTAAGTTCAAAATTACAGTATATAATAATTCTTCAGTACTGTATCGTTTCAATAGACTTGACCCCATGCATACATGATTAAATATAGTAACTAGTTCAGACAACACTTTATGGAAATAACCTAACTAAGACAAGAAAAGTGACTATTGTTCAGTAGCTTCTACAAAAAACTTTATCAAACTAAAAAAAAAAGACTTGGCTGTTGATGTTCATATGCTTACAAGTTTTGGCTTAGTCTCTCTCAGTTGAGTGAATAATAGCCATAACTCAGAGATTTGCTGCTTTGCATGGATGATTGACTTGCAAATATCCTCATGCTTGTGTTCTTGGGCTTCCGTCCTGATAAAAGATGTACACAAAAAATATTAGTGAAAAAAGTATAATACTAGTCAGGGCTGATAAAGACTCACTAAGAACAAGAAACACACATTTTTGTCCACATAATCTTTATGCAACAAAGAACATCCAAATTATTCAAAATAAAAATCTATGAAACACTATTTAATACAGAGGTCTTTCTTCATTGGATGTTGGTATATTCCAAAACTTACTTTTTTATGTTATATATAATAAGTTAAATATATGGGTATGTGTTGGGCTAAGGATTATTGTACGGTAGGTTTCGGTGACTTGTTGGCGATAAGTGAATAGCACTCCCTCTGTATGTTTTAATTAAATTAATATATTCAAAACAATTTAAGTGTACATACAAAAAAATTATTTACACTATTTACATTATATACACAGTTGTATCTTAAACACTATACAGTTCTTGTCAAAAGTATACTTAAGCCAATTCAATTGCTTTAGAATGCAGTTGACAAGCCAAACTATCTTTCTCTCTTTTTATCTTAAACACTATCAGTGTATAATTCACTTATTTCTTTTCTTCTCTCTATCTCTTTTTCTTCTTTTATCACAACAGTATTGGCGTATAATTCACTTACACTTTCACTGAGTTACCGCAGTTGTATCCTGAACTTCCGATACTTGTCTGCTTTTGGTCAAAGTCCACACAGGCAAGTTTAATTGCTTTATAACACCATTTGATGATACAAATTATTCTCCTAAAATGTCAGATAACTGTTAATCTCACTTTAACACATCAACCATTAAGCTATTCACGCCTACTATGGTTAACTTTAAGTTTTCTAACCTTTCTCTGACCGAAACTCTCTTTCACTCTGTTTTACTTTTGGCTTTTTTCCCACTCTCGTCTGGTCGCCACTTTTTTTATATCTCTTACTGAGGCATTCTACAAATCTCCATAGCTTCGACATCAATAACTTACAAACACAACTTCCAACAATTGCTGCTTTTAACTCTCTTATTATACAAAAAACTAACCAATCATGAAATATTAACTCACAAAATAAATAAATTAATATTATCTACACTAAACGGTGTTTTATATCTGACAAATACATGCTGTAGAAGAATTTACTTACCATCTAGAGGTATCTAAGAATGTGGTACATATGATGGGAACAGCATAGTCAGCCACACATACAAATATCCCAAGTACAGAAAATGTAGTAAGAACTGATGGCTCAAAGTACCAAAGAAGGCTAAAAGATAAGAAATAATAATCAAAATTTACAACTGCTCCCTACATTAAGAAAAATATGTGATTAATTAAAACACAAAGCAGGTACATAAATAATTCATGAATGCACTAAAAAAAAGGAATTTCTCCTTTCAAAAATTAAGTCAATTTAGTAAAAATGCAAAATTTAAAATGGCCAAGCTTAAAAAATAAATAAAAATAATTTCACATACTGAACTTAAAACAAGAGTATTTATCAAGGAGGTAAGAATAATTTCACAAACTTTGAGTGATGATGTGACAACTCATAACATAATTAATATTTTTTCTCGAATTTCATAGAAATTTAAGGTTCAAAACAAAAAGTTAAAAATGAAATCACTTTGGCATAAAAGTAACTAAACACAAAAATTAAAAACATGTAATGAATCATAAAATAAATATATTAACTACTGAATTATTACACAATTATCACATTCACATCACACAAACATATAATAATATAAATACGTATTAGTATATAAATTTTTAATTATACGGATGAATATTAGCTAAATGACTTTGACTTGTTTATTTGTTATACCACAAAGGTTGGGGTCGCATCAACATACAACTGATTAAAATCAATAAAACAGACACATTAGTCAACAACTAGTCAAAGTTTATTACAGCACGTGGCTGCAAGTACAGCTTCCTGCACATAAACACAGCTATTAAACAGAAAACATTAAAGCAGTTCTAAATAACAGCAGCAAGAACATACAATCATTTCACAATATAATATGCAAGTGTATTTACTAATAACATATTATATGGAAGTTGTGCTTTTAACAATTTGATACACATACATGCACTTAGAGATTCATAAACAAAGTTGTAAAATATACTTTTTAACTTTTATACATTTACCCCATCATTAGCTTAGTTTTATACAGTGTTCATGTTAACACTTTAGTTTTTTGGAGTCCTGGGGATCCAACCACTTGGAAACAATGAGAGTATCCTTATATTTTTACACAAATAATAAAAACACGAACATTTTAAGTTTTCTCATTTATTACTTACTAATTGTTACAACATTTGAATGTGTTTCACATTTCATTAGGTTTTTCCCACAATAAGGTATTTACCCTTGGGTAGTACACAGTTAGGAAGATAGAATGAGCCATATTCAAGTCAAATTGCTACATGGTGAATTCTGTAAGATGTGAAAGAGTATGGATGTTGTAGGGTTGTACTGAAGCAAGATGCAGAAAAAGGATCTCCATTTTATTGAAATGCTATACAGTTACAAATAGGATTAAATCAGCAATAAAAAGGTAATTTTTATCCTGCATCCCCAGCATGCATTGTAAAGCAATTTTCTCTGTACCTAATATTAAAATTTATGTATCTGATGTTAAGGTCTTGGATGTTGTTAGATTTAAGGAGAATGCTGCTACCTTACAAAAGGATTTGTATGATTATGTGAGTTGAGCAAATAACTGGAAAATAGCTTTTAATTACAATAACTGGAAAGTAATGTATGTGAATTATCAGAATTTACATTATACGGTAACTTTGTTGGGAATAACCTGAACAGTATTATAGAAGAAAATAATTTAGGCATTTTGATTGAGCAGTTTCTTAACCTTTCTACTACGAGTAGCTGGATTCCACCCTGTCTGTATTCCCCAAAGTAACCATAAAGCAGTTATATTGTAACTTTTTTAATATGCACATATATCTTCACAAACTTCTGCAGATTATCAGTAAACATTACAAGGCATTCGTACACAAAGTATCAGATTTTTAAAATTAAGTTTTAAGATTTTTTAAATTGATTACTTGCTCATGCATTTTTTATTTTCGAATGTTGACTATCCAACATGTGAAGTGATATTTAATTTAAGATTAAAAATACTTTTACGCATCAGAAAATTGTCAAATTTCACACGCAAATTCTTCATAACATCCTAATGTCCTCCAGATAATTATCAAACGTTTTTTTAGAAAAAACAACAACAATTATTTTCATTATTGTATATCTCTCTCTATTAGTTTGGTTGATTTGACCGACTTCGTAACCACCACAAAGAAATAGGAAATAGATATAAATTAGGCTTTTTTTCATTTTAGAATTACTACAAATTATAACATGAAACCATAAATGTTTAGTCTAAATAGTTTAAATCTCGTAACATTATACATATATAAAAATTTATTATTTTTATTTCATTGACCTTTCAGCAGTGTTTAACATTACAGAACGTAAAATATGCAGCATACATGCACTCATGTTACTGTATCCAATAATATAAAACTGGCTTTTACAAAGTGACCTGTCTTGGCTGTGTTTTAGTGGACCAGTATTTTGTAAAATAGTTATACTTAGGTTATAATACATTATATATGCATATGCATTAATACTATTTACAAATAAGCTCTTAAATTTCAGTTATTTTTCTAAAAACATAGAATAGTAATAGAATTTGTACTCGTTTGCTGCTTGCTATAATTTGCTATGCCTTATCAAATTTCACACGTGGAAAATGTAAAATAAAATAATTTTTTATAGGTTTTATATATGCATCATAAATTACTATGTCAATACCACAAAATTCCACTATAATTTATCAGGCTTAGCACCTAAGCTGTATTTAGGGTAAAAAAAAAAAAAAATTTTGAAGCTCAATAATGTCTTACCTTACCATTTGGAATCTATCGTGAAAAAAAAGGGTTTCCTGTGTAACTACTTCGTAGAAGTTCAGAAAAACCACGTGGCGGACATTCTGAACTTTCGATTGATTATTCACATGTCATAAAATGAAGTAGGTGTACGTAAGCATTTCCAAAAATGGAAAGAGGTGGGTGGAGATAGGAGGTTCTTATTTGATATTCTAGTTTGTCAATATCAATATCAGTAATTTGAGTTATTGATTTGTAAAAAACTAGACTTTGTATTTGGACATCACCAAAATCTAATATGAACCAATACTGCATTCAACATATCACACAAAACATGATATTTAGGATTTTTTTAAATATTTACTTTTAAATTAAGAAATTAAATAATGTACAATATCAAAATTTGAATTATAATCTACAATTTGATACCAAACTTATTGACATACATTAATAAAATAGTAGTTCAATAAAATTTTGAATGTAAGTCTACAAATGCGATGACATGGCTTTTGCCCCATAGGAAGACCAGTCTTGGTAGGATTAAATCACTTGTGCAATGTGCTACTGCTAGTGATAAGGCAAGTAGGATTAAGTTGTATATGTGGGTATTAAAATTTTTTACTTGAAACATACAACAAGTAACAATGTTTCAATCATCAGGTTAAGAATGACTTTTAAAAACGTTATTCTTCACCTGATAGTGACCTAAGAAGGTGAAAATGTTTGTTTTGTGTTTTAAATAAAAGTTTTTAATACTCATATCAGCTGTCTCTACTATATATATTTACTTCAGATGGGTTCATCAGGATTTGGTTTTATGTACTGATATAAATATACAGAGATTATTTATTGTACAAGTCACTGGTTTAATGGTAGGACAACAGCATAGGGGGTCATCTTCAGCTTAGTCAGTTTTACTTTTCTAATAGGGTGGTTGGCCTTTACATCGATGGAGTAAATTTAAGGGAAGGTTATAAACATGTAAGTAATTGATACAGACTTGATTCGATTGGAACAATGTCCATGGACCAACAGGTAATTTATGGTTCCTCAAGTGTTATGAATTTATGCATAAGAAGTGCATTAACATGAACAGTGTTCTATATATTCTTTAATGACAATGACTTTTTAAATTAAAGATCAACATGTTACAACTTCTAGTATTCTCCCATGTTCTGATGGACAGAGCTTATTTCTGATGATCTACACACACCTGTATATTTATTCTTCTTATCATCCATAATGACCGTAACCCAACTTGTTTGGGGTTGGTGGGTATTTTTGTAAGCCAAAAATTTTCCCACCTGGGTAGCCAGCACAAACGACAACCATATAGGACAAGCAAGTTCAGTGATGGAGATTCAAGCTTGCTAACTACCGGGCCCACTCACCTGAATCTGTATTGATAATGATTATTGTAGTAATCAAATTTGCTCATGCACATATACTAATGTAAGTTATGCAATTGCCTTCATTCATTCATGAAAAATTTACAAACATTTGTTGTCAGAAACTTATGGACTGCCTTCCTTATAAATTTTCATTAACATTAATTATTTACTGTAAAAAATTCTAAACATTTATCTGCTTTAGCTTCAGTCATGAATTTAACTCTACAAATTATAACTTCTACAAATAAACAACAACAGATGGAAAATGCTTTCAGAAGGAAATGTCATCTACATCATAATCTGCATGTTAGTAACCTTTCAAAAACTGTTGGGACAGACTGTAAAGTTAGTGGGAGATTTTATGAACACAGAAGACCTATCATTAAAGTTATCATTTTCCTAAACTGAAAATGTATTTCCAAACATACTTACCTCCACTGACACTAATAACTATTTCTCGATCTTCATCTTTGCCATCTAACATTGTGTCTTTATATACCTCACTCGACTGCCCTCAGCAAAATCTAATTTGCAAAACTTTACACTGGTCCTCACATGCCCTCTATGCAGGTACTGTATATAAAGCACTGTATGCAGACAATAAAATCACTTTTTCAAGACTTACCACATTCTGGTCACTAACACTGGCTGTTAGTGGGAAGGAAGGGAGTGAGAGTGTCAGCGGAAGTAAGTATGTTTGGAAATGCATTTTCAGTTCAGGAAAATAATAACTTCCAAAGCATACATACCTCCACTGACTCTAATAGCTAGAATCTCACATTGAGAAGGCAGAGAGGCCAGTGAGGACAGAGATCATACAGAAAGCATCTGCAGAGAACAAATATGTACCACAAGAAGTGGTATCAAAGTGAGGAACACTGCACTACATCCAGAACAGG